AGCGTTGGCCCACCAGAGCCACCACGACATTGCGACCCAACCGAGCGCACAACACAATGATAGCTGTAAGGGGAGAACCACATTGGACATAGTCGGAGTGCACTCAACAGTGCACAAGTCTCTGGAACAGCATCACACAAAGCTCTACTCCAGAGTACAAAATTCAAAGTTCAAAATTGTAACCTCTTCTGTCTGTTATAGCCAATCGTGTGTAAGAAACAAGGTGTGATGGACTCTGATTGGATATTAAAAAGGAGCAACCAAAACCCAAATACGTTAAATACCGATTTCATGCGTTTTATCACTGCAATGGGAGGTTAAAGGTCCCAACTACCTCCGGATAATATATACGGATAAGAACCACATACAAAAATCAAGATACATCTCAGCGGCGACTCCTATGGCCAAATATCCATGCGCCATGTAAAATACCGCTAACGTGACGGATCAGTGAGAAGCCGAATGATCAGTGAATAGCCGATCCGCATTACCCAATAGCACTACAGAATTGATATGAGTGGATAAAATAAAAGCCTGCAACAACTGTCACCTTCAAACATTTATGCTGGGAAAGAGTACAAATTTATAGAGGGTCTCGGCTTGATTCAAATCAAAATGCCGTGAAGAACGTCGTACATGGCTGAACGTTGTGGCTATGGCCATAGCAGACGTAATCTCCAAGAAGCTAACAATCCCTGCTGCTGCAGACGCATATTCGATTCCTCCGCAATCGTTTCGCACACACGTGGCGAATGCTAAACGCATGGACACTGCAGACAAGGCGATGGGGCCACCGCCGGTGGTCCCATCGGCAGTACGAACACGACCTCGTCACATCGATTCTAGCAATGGAGCGCGACGACCTACTTATGAACCGCAGCCAGATCCTAGACAAGGCGGCCGCAATGCCACCGCCTCATTGTCTAACCGATTGCTACGCGCCAAAGGCTTTGTATAGTTCGCGTAAAAGAGGCAGTGCCGAATTCCCTACCGGTAGTTTAAACTTTATCCCATCATCCGAATACAGATCTATTTAAAGAGTTTTAATCAGGGCCAATAAAATGGCAAAGTTTGCCGCTCAAACAGGCGAATTTTAAACTGGTTTAAAGTATGTTGTATTTTCAGCTTTTATACGCAATTACTAGTACTACGTAGTAAAAATTTATAGAGATACTACGTAGTATATTACATGTGTACAGTACTGTACTTCACTTATTCGATGCTCGATCGTGGCGATTTGAACTTCACGAGATAAGTACTTATGGTCAAATGAATGCAGGTCAAATTCGGCTGCTCACTGATCCGTCACGTTAGG